ACGACAGATGTTTTATTTTTGAGAAATCGGGCGAAAATACAGCGATCAAAAACAAACCAGGTCAAACAATCTCTTTCTACTAAGTCTATGCATGGTTCAATATGGGACTCATAGCGACGTATGCAACGCGTGTAAAATACATTGTTTGTTTACATGAACTTCGAGCATGCGCTGCGCGACGACAACCGCACTTTAATAGGAAAAAAATTTACAGGATTCTCCCACTGTAGAGGTGATAGCTTTCATATACTTGATTTCTGTTTTGCTTTATTTTGAAACTTTGCTAGGGGTATCAAAGCATGTCAGTATTTTAATGAAATTGTTTGTTTTATTTAGTTTATTTTTAAAGGACGACAGTCATCGCGCCGCGTCCTGTTCGATATGGGACTCATAGCGACGTATACAACGCGTGTAAAATACATTGTTTATTTACATGAAATTCGAACACGCGCTGCGCGACGACCACCGCGCTTTAATTCCTATTTCTTGAAACAGCTTCCGTCTTTCTGTGTCGAAAAAATCACTGTCTAGGATAAATTGCTGTTCGTCCTCAACTGAATTTGTACATTTTTTTATAAAATCACTCATCCGCAGGAATCGTTGGTCGTTGTCTTCTGCCTCTTTCTAAATTATGATCACTGAGCCAACATTTACTCACAATTCTCCAAAGGCTGAAATTTGTTATTTTGGTTATAGTCTATTAGGTATATTTCCATTTTCAAATATAATTTAAACAATTTATATGTTCTCATTTTATTGCCATCTTTACTGTGAGGAGAATTTAAGCTTTCTTTCCATAATTTTTCATAATCTTTCGTGAGTTTCATTTTAACAAAATTAGATATTTGATCAACGATATTCACTTGATGGTTAAATTTTATTGTTTCAAAATCATTGTGGCCCATTATATTTTCTATATGATTTATCCAGCTAAAATTACTCTTAACTGCTTCATCGAGAGCACATTTAAGTATATGGTTATCAAGTAGGGCATTTAGCCTGAACCAATATTTAGTTGCCAATGTTGATGCCTCTCATTTGAGAAACTATTGGACCCTTTAGGTGAGAATTATACTATGGCGAAACAGAATTTAAGTTTTTCTGAGAAATCAACGAATATCTTCTTGCAGTCATTCTTCTAAACTAAACTAAAAAAAAAAAAAAACTGACTGGTAAAAATGTCCATGTACTTTTTACTCAATTGGTGATATTGTAAAATTTGTATTAAAAGCCGCGGCTTCTATTAAAATAGTACAATGCAACAGTGGGGATGCGACTTCTATTAGAGCATCTACACATATAAGAAATGGTAAATTTTGAGGTATGATTATATGGGAGTACCGGTACCCCCCCCCCCCCCGGTAGTTTGTATAACACAGCCTAGGGGCCCCATATGATATCAAATTACAAACTACTAGCTAGATGAAATGTATGCATTTATGTAGTTCAACAATATGCAAGGTCTTGTTCAGTTTATATACAATTGGAAGTTAAAAATATATGAAAAACTACAACGTTCTGTCAGGCGTGTGTTGGGTTTGGAGCATCACTGAGGGCGCAACTCACACTACCGTGTCAGGCTATGCTGATTGGTGCATTCGTCAGCTACTGAATACTACAATGCAGATGTATTTTATTTCCACTGTGAACTTGTAGTGAGCGTCAGGTACCGCAAAGATGATGAGCATATCTAGTTACGGTAAAACCAATTAAAGGAGTGGATAAGGAGAGAATGAAATAGCACTTCGGGTTATCTAAACAAAAACACACTTATTAATGATAAAATTGTTATTTATTCCGTACCACGAGTTGGCCAAATGCCAGCTACATTTAATAGTTTATCGTTGTTACATTATTCATCATATGAATGTGTTGAAAAATCACATTCAAATTTGATCATAATTTTAACTGATAATCTAATATCTGTCCAAGATTTGCATAAAATTAAAATAAATAAATGTACAAATAAATTTTAAAAATTTCTATGGAAATTTACTAATATACAATCTTATTTGGAATGCTGAAGGCAAGCCCCACACACCATAAATAATACATATTGGTGAGGCCCATGTGAGAATAAACATTAATTTGTACAAATCACAATATTGTGATATTATTCAAAATATTAGGATACATGGTCAACTACATAATGTAACATACTTTATTTTTGCTTTGAATTTATTTTCAATATTTTCACAGAAGCGATGATACAGTGAAAATAAAATCCAGCGAATATACCATTTTTCGTATCTTTTACATTCAACTCATGAAACTAAATATAAAACACTCAAAAAGTCGTAATTAATTCCAGTTAAAATTAAGTATTTTACAGTAGTGTCATCAAGTACCATAATAAATATTTACAGTGACATTGACTTTTAGTATAAACATGGGTTTGTGTTAAAGGAATGTTTTTTTTTGGAAAATGAAACTTGTAACTTCATCACTGTATATATCAATTCACAGAGGGACTGTGATTAATTGAATCTAAGGTATGGAGTGTAAACAAACAAAATCAACAGTATTTGCTCCATTAGTAATGCATACACTTAATCTCTTTCAAAATACTTCAAACGTAGATGACATTGCTATATTGAGCAGTGCTATCTAATTGCTACACACCCACAGATATACAATTCAGTATGACAATGGCTCTTCTATCTAAATGCTACACACCACCCCACTCCATGCAAGATATACAGCTCAGTTTGACAATGGCTTTGCTATCTAAATGCTACACCCCCCCAAGTTATACACAGCTCAGCGTGACAATGGCTTTGCTATCTAAATGCTACACCCCCAAGTTATACACAGCTCAGCGTGACAATGGCTTTGCTATCTAAATGCTACACCCCCAAGTTATACACAGCTCAGCGTGACAATGGCTTTGCTATCTAAATGCTACACCCCCAAGTTATACACAGCTCAGCGTGACAATGGCTTTGCTATCTAAATGCTACACCCCCAAGTTATACACAGCTCAGCGTGACAATGGCTTTGCTATCTAAATGCTACACCCCCCAAGTTATACACAGCTCAGCGTGACAATGGCTTTGCTATCTAAATGCTACACCCCCAAGTTATACACAGCTCAGCGTGACAATGGCTTTGCTATCTAAATGCTACACCCCCCAAGTTATACACAGCTCAGCGTGACAATGGCTTTGCTATCTAAATGCTACACCCCCCAAGTTATACACAGCTCAGCGTGACAATGGCTTTGCTATCTAAATGCTACACCCCCCAAGTTATACACAGCTCAGCGTGACAATGGCTTTGTACTACAAAATTTATACTCTCTATAACAGAACTACAAATAGGAGTATGTGAGGCCATGAAGCTGCAGTGTCAGTATTTGCACAATATTGACAGTTCCCAAGTTTCAACTTTTCTACGTTTCAGTTTACACCAATTCTCCCAAAATTAGGTTTTCAAATTTTACTAATTCAGCTGTCAAAGGGTACACAGAATACACAACATATTAAGTTGTATTAAAACAAAGTTTAAAAATGAAGAAAAAAAAAAAGTTTAAAAATGTGTAAAAAGTAAATTCTTTTGTAAATGAAATTTAATGTTATTCATTAAGTTTTGATTCTTGTCAAATAAAAGCTATTTTGTGAGCAGCAATAACACAAACATAACATATTGGTATAAACACAAACCAATAACAAATATGTGGTTGTATTCAATACATGTTGTAGTAACATGTATACAGCGCCCTCAAGGGTCAGAAATGGTTTAAAAGCATGGGGGGGGAGTGAAATTCACACCCTTACTATGTACAATTTGATTTAAATCAAGGATGGATGGATGGATGTAAATAATAAAAAAAATGGGAAATCATAAAATCACTATGATTTGGATGAGAAATAAATGACACAAAGCAAATTTCTGTTAGCTGTATCCTCCTCAGAAATTGGTTTACAAGCACGCTACCTGTGGTATTATAAAACATTTCTCCTGAGCCAGCACACCATTTACTGCTATAGCTAATTCAAGATGAAGCCAAGTCACTGGCAACACTTTATCTAATACCAGATTCTGAAATTTATAAAATGGCGTGCTATGTTTGACATAAACTCTAATCAAGGACTTGTAAAATAAGGGTATGCAACTATGGTAGTGTGATATGGCAAGGAAGATTCCATATTTGAAGTCGAGCACTTTGCTAGATGATCACAAACCAAACATGTATTTCGAGAAAAACTAATAGAAATGAGCGAGTGTGTGAAAGAGAGTTAATGTTAGTCTCACTGAGTTCGTTCATCGTTTTCATCACATGACTTTCTGGCCCAAATTTTTCTGTCATTTTTTTATATTCTTTAATATTTCTTGAAATGAACGCTAATTTTGAAGCCAACAGAGTAAATTTTTACTCAAAAAATTCTGCTATTTTTTTCCCAATTTTCTGAAGGAAAGTGCGGGTTAGAAACGAGACTGTTTTGTGAATTTGTGAAGAAAAGATAGAACTGGCGGTGAAATAGTTATACCAGTGTTCTTGAATATTCATGAGCTTATATCACATTTTTTTTTGTTTTGTTTTTTAGGAATATGGTAATAACCTCAATTATTTTCTTTTCCAACCATTGGTCAGAACAAATTCTTTTCACCTAGAACTCGAGAGATCTGTACCAGTTCTTCTGAGTTGCATACCCTTTACTTGTAAATCCTTAATCGTACATGCAAAGGTTCAGTGTTTGTTCATTTATAACTACACAGTAGTTTGAATGCTAAGTGTAGCTAGACTCGCACTTGCATTGTGAAGTGCGTTTGGCAATACCATTACATTGCATGTATGTCCACTCACAGGACGCTTTAGCGCTCCAGCTACATACCATTCTCCCGTTGACGGATCATACGTGATAATTTCTGACGTTTCACGTTTCTGCAATGAGGAGTAGCCACCTAATATGTAGATTTTCTCATCTAAAACCACTGGTGTAAAGACACTGCGAGAGAAAGGCATCTGATCAAGTACTTGCCAGAGATCCGTGGCAGGGTCATAGCATTCCATCGTTGTTACGTCTGACTGCGTCTGCGAGGTGCTGATTTACGCCACCCATGACGTATATTTTGTCCCCAAGAACGCACATACCGTGTAGATAGCGAGAAACCTTCATTGGTGACTTTTCACATATGTAACCCGTCTTCGGATTGTACGTGATTAGCATATTGGACGGTCGACCACAGACGTAGACGTCCCCACCGGATAGATAGATTTCATCCTTGTAGGAAACCCCAGCATGGCAGCTCATTGGTGCCATCAGAGAGTTTGTATAATCCCAAGTGTTTGTGTGAGCTGTGTACACTTCAACGGAGCCAGTCCGTTGGCTTTTACTGTTCGTTTCATTTGTTCCGGTGATTCCACCAAGAGCATAAATCTTACCATTGTGTACACATAAACTGAAATTGCACCGTGCCATTTTGAGAGGAGCTAGGCGTAACCACCTGTTCGTGCGAGGATCATAGCGATAAGATGCCGCTAATATCTTCTCACTGGACGAATACAGACTCCAGCCACCTGCACAATAAAGAAACCCGTCCATCATTACAGCACTATGCACATGCATTAAAATGCCGTTCATTCCAAGCTCCACGACCTCTTTGCCAATTTTGTAGGCCGTCACTCGACTCGTTGGCCTTTCCTTCATACCTCCTATAACACATACTGCCTTCTCATCTCCTCTAACCTTAGTCCGACAGTTCTGCTTCAGGTTTTGGGAATATAAATTACTCTGATAATCGAGAGCTTCTGCAACAAGTTCTGCACATACAGGGTCTTCTCGCATTATCTTGTTATTCTGTACAATCTTTTCAAACTTTTCAGCTCTCATTAGAGGGAATCTGATGTGCTTCATCAGATCTGCAGCGTACATTACACGAGACTCCTCGTCATACATTATCCACGATAGTGCAATTTGAAACAGATCAATTTCATGACATGTGTGGATGTCATTTCTTTCCAATAAACCAACCACCTCGTTAACAGGCAAGTATAGAAACTCTGCCTCGCGAGCCGAGATGTTAAAGTTTTCCAAAATGCATCTTAATGCAGTATCCTCAATTTTGGGGAAACAGAACAACTGCGACAGTTGGTAGATTTTCACGCAGTTCTCCGGTGACATCAGTGACTCCATAAACTGCTTGCACACATTTATAGCCTCGTTAATCTGTAAATGAACGGCACTGGACAAAACCAGTTCAATGTTTTGAAATGATAAAAACATCTTCCCGGAATAAATAAATTCGATAATTATCCGAAGTCCCTCAGATGGTATACCCTGAAGGTATACTCGTCTCTCTTTGGTTTCTTTCATACCCACTGTAAACATGGCTTTGAAGTAATCGCTGCATGCTGCCAGGAGTGTTCGGTGAGCTTGATATGTATGGTGGTCTCTGGAAATCAAGATGGCGTCATGGAATAGATCTTCTTCATGTAGTTGTTGGAAAGCTTGTACAATTGAGTCCCCGTACCTCGGTGATGTAAAACATATCTCCGATGTACACTGTGCCATCCCGTTAGCTGTTAGTAAAAAATAAAAATAAAAGATAATCATTAATTTGCTGACTTAAAACTCCATAGCGCATTAATTATTATTTTACAAAATTATGAAATAATCAAGATCGTACAAGGATATGAATAATTTCGAGATTGATATTATTATTACCTACAATATCAAGTAATTAATTACAATTATTGCAATTATTGTATATTCTTCTATTAAAAACAATTAAGTTTATATCTGAAATCATTGAACACATTACATTTTAAGGATGCTTTATATTGTGAAAATAATCTTTTAAAACAGTACTTCTTGCAGAGTTAATATATTTACACTGTACATGCATTATGAATTTATAGCTGTGAATGACATCGTGTTAAAGGGGATCCAGGCACTATGCGTAAATGCATGTCATAACAACACAAGTAACAACGATTTGCAAAATGCAGTTCCATTTTATTTACTCATTGGTGTTCGGTTATAATTTGGTGAACTTGACACATAAAAACATTCACGCTACTGGTCACCGTACATGTTAGATAAGTTTTTTCAGAACTGTAAAATGTATTTTTTCAATAAAAATCTTAAATTTAATGACAATTTTAGAATAAAAAATATAGAGCTGCATTTGTCTGTCAGGAAACATTTTATTATATTATTTTATTATTATTCGAATAAAATTATACAGAAATGTCTGGTAAGTAAAATAATTAAGTTGGTAAAATTAATATTGATAGATGAAATAAAAAAATCAGCCAGAATGTGTTAAAATTATCAGTGTTTAACTGTCTTGTTTTTTTCTGGAGGTATTACCTAATATTTTAACTAGTCCCCCTGAAATATTGAAATTATTTATGTTTCAAAATCCAATTCATGACCGAATAATTCCATTTTTAGTTAAAAATTGTCATTTTAAAATCGAAAATTTTCAATTAAAAGTTGAAAACTCCCAATTTATGACCGAATAATTCCATTTTTAGTTAAAAATTGGCATTTTAAAATCGAAAATTTTCAATTTAAAGTTGAAAACTCCCAATTTATGACCGAATAATTCCATTTTTAGTTAAAAATTGTCATTTTAAAATCAAAAATTGTCATTTTAAAATCAAAAATTTCAATTTAAAATTGAAAACTACCAATTTATGACCAAATAATTCCATTTTTAGTTAAAAATTGTCATTTTAAAATTGAAAATTTTCAATTTAAAGTTGAAAACTACCTTGAACTGAAATCTGTTTCGGATGATAAATGTTTTAAGTTCTGTATGTCATACATTGCATCACCCACTACTGGGTATTTCAAAGGTTGTGAGTCTAAAAATAAACATTATGTTGTAATGATTTATGCAAGTCTTCAGCCTTATTGACACATGTCGAGAAATATACTTTATCTGCGGGCTAAATAGGAGTTCTGTTCGTATGTTGCAGAGGTTGATTTTTTTTATTTGGCATTCATACTCCTAATCTTGGCAGTTATTTTACCACTAATAGTAATAACAAAAATGGCGGACCAATACACCCTGTCATTTTTTTGCTCTGTTATTTCTTTTTACACTTTTGCAATTCAAGACAGTACTGAGTACAACGTACTCATATTGCTCTAAAAACTATCAGGTCTGTGCAGTGTCCTATGACATCTATGTACCAAGTTTCATTGAAATGTGATGATTACTACTTGAAATATCAAAAGCTGAAAATAAATTAATTATGCAAATTAGGTAATTAATATGTACTCATATTACCCAAAAAACTATCAGGTCTGTGCAGTGTCCTATGACATCTATGTACCAAGTTTCATTGAAATGTGACAATTACTACTTGAAATATCAAAAGCTGAAAATTAATTAATTATGCAAATTAGGTAATTAATATCTACTGATATAACGTCGTTTGTATACAAACTACGATCACTATTTGGTTGCATGGTCTAAATCAGAGCTACCGACCAATAAAGCCCCTTCTCGGACGCCATTGCTGACAATACAGCAAAAATCTTGTTGTGACGCTCTGCTCATTAAAGTCAATTAAATTTTTTCTCTGGGTTAATTAATCTGTTCACACATGTTTTCATACAAGGGTTGAAATATATTCAAGCACCATGTTTAGCTAAAAATGTGAACAACATATACCATATCAACATTTTTATGTACACACCCATTTTATTGTGATTATTGTTAAAAGTAGGTGAATGCACTGTCAATCACTGTAAGACCCAGACAGGGGGTGAATTGGTGTATTGAATGAGAGCAAGAGTTCAGTTCATCTTGTGATACATACAACAATATGTCTTTAAATTAACCGCAGAGATTAAAGAAATATATTTTATACATTACAACAAAAAATTAAAAAATCATTAAATTCACATTTGTCATGTTGTGCTTTAAACTTCGAGGGCAGGGGTCGACCTTTACCACTATTATCTGATATCTGATGTAAAATTTGCACTTTGGTGAATTCAGTGAGATAAAAGGTGTTGGAAAAACTAAGATAAAATGAAATATTCGTAATTATTAATTGAATATCTAAAAAAGTAGGTAAACACATTGTAAGAATCAGAGGTGAATGAAATGGTGTATTGAACAAGGGGAACAGTTCAGTTCATCTCAACTGAATATCACAATATATGCCATGAAATTATTAACTAAGATTGAAGAACATACTCATAATTAAACTTTGCATGAGGTGATCGACCTTCAACACTATTTAAAATTTGCATTTTAGTGGATTCATCAAGATAATATTGAAACCATTGTAGGAAAGCTAAAAAAAAAACATATGTAATTTGGTAATTAAATGTCCATATAACCCATTTACCCAAGTTAACTATAACTTTTCACCAAACAAAAAATATTTTTATTTAGTCTAAAATTAATTATCAACAAAAAATTAAAGAAAATTATAAATTTTGTGCAAAATGTTCCAACAAATATTTAGCAGGGAAGATGGCCTTTAAAAGATTAAAAAACAATATTTGTTTTGCATAATAATGAGGGACTAGATAGGTTTAATGTATTAAAGGATATATGTAACAGACTGATACTATGTAACAGGGGAATGAATCAACCTTCATCTACTGTTGTACATTTGAAGAGAAATTGAAATTGAGACATACATCTTGTAGGCTGTAATACCGAAGCTCTGACTTGCATTCACCATACAACAAGGTTTGAAATACGAGGTTATTATGAAGATACAGTAAAGTAAAGTATGTACATGTACAAAGACAGTTCAGCGAGTGTATCAACCGACACACAGTGAAGGTTGATGCGA